AGACAAGGCGGCAGCGGCAGCCAAGAGCGAAATCATGAAGGAAGACAAGCTTCACAAACAAGGCGGGAGCGGCAGCCAAAAGCGAAATCATGAAGGAAGACAAGCTTGGGAGACAAGACGGCAGCGGCAGCCAAGAGCGAAGTCATGAAGGGAGACAAGCTTGGGAGACAAGGCGGCAGCGGCAGCCAAGAGCGGAAGCATGAAAGCTTGGAAGACAAGCCGGCAGAGGCAGCCAAGAGCAAAATCATGAAGGGAGACAAGCCTGAGAGACAAGGCGGCAGCGGCAGGCAAGAGCGAAATGAGGAAGGGAGACAAGCTGAACAGACAAGGCAGCAGCAGCAGCCAAGAGCGAAATCATGAAGGGAGACACGCTTCACAGACAAGGCGGCAGCGGCAGCCAAGAGCGAAATCATGACGGGAGACAAGCTTGGGAAAAAAGGCGGCAGCGGCAGCGGCAGCCAATTTCCGCAATCAGAAACCCATCCATTGAGAAGTAAGAACCCCTATAGCTTCGCTATCTGAACCAAAGAACTGAACACTTGAGAATGTTACAGTACTACTCATAGGTTCACGGGTGAGGGTCGGATCGGTCACCAGGATCGGTCACCAAGATGGTCGGATCGGTCGCCACGGATCGGTGACCGGAAATCACGGATCGGTGACCAATCTTAACGGATCGGTCGCTCGGTCGCCAGGATCGGTCACCGGAGGTATAGCGAAAGAAAGTGAAACAAACGAAGCCGACCATACCGGATCGGTCGCCACTAACAAGCTTGCAAACCTGCATGCTGGACTTCAATGTACGCTGGCATCATCTACATCACCCGCATGCTCCTACTCAGGCTGCCCAGGCATGGCGAACAAACCAGACAGGTATAGCGAAGGAACGGAAAACACACCAAACCAACCACCAGAGAGGTCTAGCGAAGGAAAGGAAAACGTACCAAACCAACCATACCGGATCGGTCGCCGGGATCGGTCACCACCGAGGTCTAGCAAAGGAAAGGAAAACAAACCAAACCAACCATACCGGATCGGTCGCCAGGACCGGTCACCAGAGAGGCCTCAGGAAAAGAAAAAGAAACAAAGCAACCATACCGGATCATACAACGTCACAATTCCTGAGTCCAGACATTTTCCCAAAATATTCTAAACTCAAGAAATAGGTTGTTGAAAAAACCATGTGTGTGTGAAAACACGTCAAATGAATTCGATCAAACCTGGGCTGGAGTAGTCACCCAACCTGAGCTGGATGACAATCTCGGCGGAACGCCTTGAACTCGCAGTTGGTAAATTACGTATACGCTGGACTTCAATGTCTGCCCAACAAAAGCATTATCTACGTCACAGTAGTAGTAGTAGTAGTAGTAGTCGTAGTCGTAGTAGTCGTAGTAGTCGTAGTAGTAGGTAGTGGTAGTTAGTAGTAGTTAGTAGTAGCTAGTAGTAGTAAGTAGTAGTAAGTAGTAAGTAGTAAGTAGTAAGTAGTAAGTAAGTAGTGGTAGTTAGTAGTAGTTAGAAGTAGTTAGTAGTAGTTAGTAGTAGTTAGTAGTAGTTAGTAGTAGTT